TATTAAAAAAATAATATCTTCATATATCAGTAAATTTATTTTAAATATTATGAAATATTTTATGAAAGCAATTGATTTATATTCTTGAAAGCTTTATATATAGCCTACCTGAGGCCATGATGAAAATAAATTCGGACTAACAATGTCAAAATTCTCACTTCGATGTAATTAGTCAAATTACTAAAAATAACTAGCATGAGATTTATATTGTTTTTCAATTTTATGTTATCAATATTTATTTTTAATTATATATGTTGTCATGGCGAATTAAACACAAAATATAAAATAAAATTTTTATTATTTAACGCATAATCACATATGCATAATCAAATATGTATTTTCTATATTTATATAGATAATGTGATTATATATATTTATATGTACTTACACTTTCTTTAGAAAAGTGTTAAGATTATACTGTTAAAATGTTATTAGATTTCTCATTTATTTTAATATTGAAATAGAATTCCCGCTTCGAATAAATTTGACAGTATTACCAAATTTTACAATATTCTACTATATTTATAAGTATATTAAATAGATTTTATATCAATAATACAGTTGGCTGTACTGTTAAATTGACAGTCTGCTTAAGAAATGGTTGTAAAGTAAAGATGGCAGTAAGGGGTGATGCACAAATTGTCCTCTTCATTATTTTGTGTATTTTCTTATTAAAATCGTGTAATGGAGCCGCGACAGATATTGAATTAGATGCAAAAGCACAGCTATTGCATAGACTTGATAGTTTAAATCTTTTATTATACACATTTTTATTGATATTAACTGTTTTAACAATATGGACATTTAAACATCGTCGCCTTAGGTTCCTCCATGAAACTGGTCTAGCTGTCATTTATGGTAAGTCGTCTGCTATAACTACTGTTTACAATTACAATTATAATGCAAGTTATGCAAATTTTAATTTTAATTTTTATTTAAATTTATTTAAAATTTTTCTAAAGCATTTTTTTTATTATGTATAAATGTATATAGTAAATACTTTTTTATTTCAGATATTCTTATATTCTATTCTTTGTATATAGATATATATAAATTATATATATATAATATATAGTTAAAATAATATTAAATATTTTATTTTTTTATACATATTATAATAATATAATAAATATAAATACAAATATATAATATATTAATATAAATAATAAGTATAAGTACAATATAATTAATATAATAAAAATATTTTTAAATAAATTGATTTATTTATACTTATTTAGAAATATATATTTAATTTTAATTAATTATAATTAAATATATTTCATAATATTCTAATTTCATAATAAATAATTATAAATTGATTATTAAAAATTATTAAAAAGAATAAATGATAATAATAATTGTTAAATATTTATTTTATCAATTTTCTATATTAATATTTATTCGATTTTTTTTGTTAACAAAGATATTACATCATAAAATTGATATATAATCTTTATATATAAATAAGAACTAAGATTTAATAGTTTAAAAAAAGAATAATTTTTCATCATTTGAAATATTGATTATCAATTTTATATAATAATAATAAAGTTTAAATTATAATAATTTCATGAAAGTTATATATATTAAACATTTTAAAATAATATTAATTTATTATAAATTTATTATTATATGTACATATGTATTTGTTATGATATATATATGTATATCTTTTTAGGATTAATTATAGGAGCAATAATACGTTATGGATTTACAACAAGTAGTACTATTCTTCACATGCCTGTTGTACCAGACAACAGCAGTAAATATAATCAATCAGTTCCTCCTGATACATTATGGTTACGTTTTCCGGAAGATAAAGGAGGTGGTAATATTATTAAAAATAAAACATTTGCGTATTTATTCAGAGGAGAGATTTATAAACAAGATAATGAAATAGATTTGAAGGTATTATTTAATTCAATTATTTATAATTTAATTTTTAATAATATATTAGAATTATTAAAAAATTAAATATTGTATTTAATTATGTTAATTATGTTAATTATTTTATTAAATTATAATTAAATTGAACACTAGAAAGAAATAATTAAATAAAAATATAAAATTTTAATAGGCCACCTTTGATTCTGAAATATTTTTTAACATTATTTTGCCACCAATCATTTTTCATGCTGGGTATAGTTTGAAACGTGTAAGTAGCAAATGTTCAATTATTTATATTTATATTTATATTTATCACTATTATTTAATATTATTAATTTTATATTTTATTTCAGAAATATTTCTTTAGAAATTTAGGAGCAATTCTTATGTATGCTTTAATTGGAACATCTATATCAGCTTTTGTTATTGGGTATGTTTTTTATTTGTAATGAAAAATATATGTATACATTATTAATAAATAGATATATATTTTCTTGTCATAATAACAAGTTTATTTACATCTTTTGAAGTTTTTATATGGAACATTTCTTATGATTAATTTTACGTTCATAGGTCATTTAGATTGAATATATCTGTTGTTTTGTTCATTGACTATAGATAAAGAAAAAAATTCTTTTTAATATAATGCTATATTTTTTTAATCATACATTTCTTATGTTTATATTATTTTTTTTTTCAGAGCTTTGATGTATGCTTTTGTACAATTAATACCACATCTCTCTGCTTCATTTACATTTTTGGATACTTTATATTTTGGTGCATTAATATCTCCCACAGATCCATTGACAATAATTTCTATTTTTAATGATTTACATGTAGATGTAAATTTATATGCTTTAGTATTTGGAGAAAGTGTGTTAAATGATGCAGTTGCAATTGTACTTAGTGGGTATGTATATAAGAATATTAATATCAAAAAGTTTTGATCAAATATACATATAAATTATATATATAAATTATGTATTTCAGTTCCATACAAAATTATGGAGAACGTTATCAATCAGGTTCAGGTGGATTTGAAACTGTAGCATTTTTCCAAGCATTTGGTGATTTTGTTGGAATATTTAGTTTATCTTTATTTATTGGTGCTACCATGGGCTGTATTACTGCTTTATTAACTAAATTTACTAGAGTCCGAGATTTTCCTCTTTTGGAATCAGCATTATTTGTTTTAATGTCTTATAGTACTTTTTTAATTGCTGAAGCATCTGATCTTACAGGTAATATTTTATAATTTTATGTGCATTAAATTTATCATCTTCAATAAAATATTTTTACATGTAATTATTTGTATACAGGTGTAGTTGCAGTCTTATTTTGTGGTATTTGTCAAGCACATTACACATATAATAATTTAAGTCCAGATTCGCGTCAACGGACAAAACAACTATTTGAACTTTTAAATTTTTTAGCAGAAAACTTTATATTTAGTTATATTGGTGTTTCAATGTTCACTTTTCCAAAACATCATTTTGATCCAGGATTTATTTTTGCAGGATTCGTATCCTTATTTTATAAATATTCATTTTAAGTTAGTATTTCATAATACATACTCTTTATAATCCTTAATTATTTTATTATAGTTATGTGCATTATTAGGTCGTGCAGCTAATGTATATCCATTATCTTTTATATTAAATTTGGCACGAAAACCAAAAATATCGTTAAATTATCAACATATGTTATTTTTTGCTGGTTTACGCGGAGCTATGAGTTTCGCTTTAGCGATTAGAAATACTGTGTCTGATGCTCGACAAGCAATGTTAACAACAACGAGTTTAATTGTAATTCTAACAGTTATTTTTCAAGGTGGTGCAACAACCCAATTTTTGAGCTGGTTTAATATACCGTAAGTATAAAAGATTTTTATTATAATTATAAACTTTTTTATTTTATTGAAACAAATTATTTTTTTCAGAGTTGGAGTAGATGAAGAAATAGAAGGATTGTCACATAATGGAATGCGCAGTGTAAGTATTATATTTTTATTTTTAATTATTATTATTGATTTTTTTACTTCACAAAAGTACAAATAATTTAATAATTAAAATTTCATTTGCACTAACATATTTAGTGAAGAGTAAAATTTCTATTTATGTACTTTTGATATAAAAAAATATAGTAATATTTACTATAATATAATTTATTCATAATTTTTACTTTAATAGAATACAATTTTTTGTTATTTTTGTAATTTTTACAAGTAAATTTTTTTAAATAAATTTGCTATTTTATTTTTTATAAATAATAAAATATGCTAAAAAGAAATGATAAAAATATCTAATTTCTTAATATATACATAAATAAATAAAAAGTATAAATAAATTTTTATTAATTTGTTTTATTTTTATATAAGAAAATATAAAATACACCAAAAGTCATCAAAAGCAAAATTTTAATAAGATTATTTTAAATTTGATTATCTTTTAGAATTATCTTTTAAATTTTATTAAATATTATTGTTATCAGAAAGCATCTCTTTATGAATTATATATATAACAATTTAAACCATAAACTGATTGATGTCAGTTTTTAAAATTAAAAATTTAAATTTTAATTATTTATAGCTATGAAAAAATTTTAATATTTTAGGATTAAGATTTGAATTAATATATTTAAATAACTATACAAATAAATTAAAGAAAATTTAATAAAATGTAAATAAAAATTCTACATTAGAAATAAAAGACATTTCATCTATTATTGATCTTTTTAAACCATCTATGTATAATGCAACATATAATCATTTAATGAATAATGTATAATAAATATACATATAATAATTATTTAATAAATATAAAATAATCTAAATTGTTCAACAAAAGTATTTCTCTAGAAAAATTTAATTGCAAATATATTTGTGCATGAATGCTTTTTATACTATTATTCTTCATCCCCAAATTACTGATGCACTTTTAATATTATACACTATTATCAATAATATCTAAAATTTTTATTTCTTAATAAATATACGAAAAGATTATATTTATAAATGTTCATTTTTTAAATTCCATTTAAATAATATAATATTTCTGCACAAAGATTATTAAAATCATATATACCTTGCACTAGAATTTAACATTTTATAAAATCTAAGCATGTCTAATTACATTGTATTAAAGTTGATAAAAAGGCTTAATTAATCTTAAATAATTGCGCTTAATAATTAATATAAAAAAATACTGGAATTTAACATACTAATGTTAATAGTCTGGTGGCGAAGGTGGCTTTGGAGATCTGGACATACGTAGGGAGAGAAGTCCGCCGGTATGTTTTTCTATTAAAAA